AGTTGCACTGTAAAATTTTGTCTTAAAATATGTGAATTTTAGGACCCTTCGACTAGAAAACTGATGGGCTTGTGTAAAGTTAATAGAGGTTTATGCTAGTAGGCACCTGCTAAGTCTTCTAAAGTTTTTCTTACTTATATTAAAACCAATAAAATTTCCAATTGTAATACAATGATTAATAAAAATTCCTTTACTCTTCATCAAAGATTAGGTCATAATGCAACTATCCCTCAACCTCAATGTCCTATTTGTCCATTAGCTAAGCAAACCCAAATTACTTTTTCCACATAACACTTCCACTATGAACCAATCTTTTTGCGCTTATCCATCTTGATATTTGGGGTCCATATCACACCCCAAATTATGATGGATCCAGATTTTTCCTTACCATTGTTGATGACTTTTCCGAGGGTACATGGACATTCCTCATGCAATCCAAAACCCAAACACTTATCATATTAATTTTTTTTTATCCATGGTCACCACTCAATTTCGTACTTCCATCCAAAGGGTTAGAACCGACAATGCTAGAGATTTTTTCAATCATAATTGTTCATCTCTTTTTTTAATCACTTGGCATATTGCATGAAAGTTCTTGCACACATACTCCACAACAAAATGGGGTTGTCGAAAGAAAACTCTGTCATCTGCTTGAAGTCATGTGCCCTCAAACACCAAGCCCATATACCCATCTCCTTTTGGGGTGACTGTGTGATCACATCCACATACCTGATCAATCGCATGCCAACCAAAGTTCTTCATGGCAAAACTCCTTATGAGGCATTATTCAATAAACAACTAGCTCTTGACCACCTCCGACTATTTGGCTGTCTTTGTTATGCTGTCACCCTTGGCTCACATGACAAGTTTGGCACCCGAGCCACCCGTTGTATTTTAATAGGATACAACATGCTCTAGAAGGGTTACAGGCTATATGATCCAGTTAAAAACAGGTTCTTGATCTCTAGAGATGTTGTGTTTCATGAAGACATATTTCCATTTGCCACCAAAGATACTATTTCATCTACATCACCCAGGCTAGCTCTTGAAGATAATACACTACTAGATCTTCTTTTCACTATGATACTTGCGCCTCCCGTTTCTCAACCCGACCCTCCTACCTCTGATTCTAACACAACAACCACTAATGAACCTCCAGTAGAATCACCTATTCAGATTCCTACAGTTGTTTCCCTACCAGGATCCCGTGATCTAATTCCAATTGTCCCTACATGCCGCAACACTCGACAAACTCGACTACCAATCTGGACAGCAGACTATAAGCGTCCCACCATTTCAAATTCTTTAAGTACATTGCATCTTACCTCCAATTATGTGAGCTATGATCGTCTCTCTCTTGTAGACAGAGTTTGTATTAGTCACATCTCCCCCAACCGCAAACCAATTACTCAAATTATGTTCAACACTCTCACTAGTGTCAAGCAATGGCTGATGAACTTATTGCTTTGACTCAAAATCATACTTGGGGTCTAGTGTCTCGTCCCTCTCATCGAAAACACATTAGCTGTAAATAGGTCTACAAAATCAACCATCGTGCTAATGGCTCCATTGAATGTTACAAAGCCCTATTGGTAGCCAAGGGATTTACTTAACATGATAGATTTGAATATCAAGAGATTTTCTCCCTTGTAGCCAAACATGTCATTGTTCGTGCTTGCCTTATGTAACTTCTTTTCGTGACTGGTCTCTCTATTAAATGGATGTTCATAATGCCTTTCTTCATGGTGATCTACATGAGGAAATTTATATGGATCTTCCTCCTAAAATTTACAAACCGGGGGAGAACACAGTATGTCGTTTGCAAAAATCCCTCTATGGCCTAAAACAAGCATCCCGACAATGGAATGAGAAATTCAACAAAGCTCTCACCAGTACAGGATTTTTTTAGTCCAAACATGACTATGCATTATTTACCTGGTGTAAAGGTAAAACCTTCATTGCTTTAATCATCTAGTCGATGATATTCTTATTATAGGAAATAATGAAGCACGCATCAAATCCTTGAAAGAGCATCTCAACAGAACTTCCAAATAAAGGATCTAGAAAAGCCAAAATATTTCTTCATTGAAATTGTAAGATCCCTGACAGGAATATCTCTTGTTACAAATAGAGAACTGATTGTTTGTAAAAGACTGAGTGATCAGACTTGCTCTTTGTCATTCCGAACTTTGCAACTACCTCACTGAACTTTCCAAACCAAGCACGTGGACTCTGTTTCAAACCATACAACGATTTGCGAAGGTGACAAACTTTCCCATATATCTCTCAACCAACAGAAATATGTTCTAGAACTCATTTATGATTCTAGGCTATCAGGATGCAAGCCAAGTATTATTCCAGTAGAACAAAAACCCCAAATTGACTACTCAAGAATATGACAGTGGGATATTGTCCTTTGAAGATGATCTACCTCTGGAAGACCCCTCAAACTATTAGAGACTTGTTGGGTGATTGATCTACCTTACCATGACTTGTCCAGATATCAGTTATGCAGTCTACATTCTTAGTCAGTTCATGCATGGACCTAAATGATCTCACTTGGATGCAACGTTAAAGGTTCTGAAATACTTAAAAGGGTGTCCTAGTTTAGGACTTCTTCTTCCTCAAGACAAGGGTTTGGACATCACAACTCATTGTGACTCAGACTAGGCCACATGTCCGATGACAGAAAAATCAATTATAGGTTTCTGTATCAAGCTGAAGAGAGCTCTTATTTCTTATAAAACAAAGAAACAATCAACATTATATCTTTCCTTAGCAGAAGCCTAATATAGAGCCATGGGAAAGACAACATGTGAGATCATCTGGATTCTAGGGTTATTGGAAGATCTAGAAGTACAAATAAGAAAACTTTTTTTTTTATACTATGACAATAAGACTACAAATGGCATAACAGTAAACCCAGTATTCCATGAAAGAATGAAACATATAGAAATTGGTTGTGACTTTATCAGGAGCAAAATATAAGAAGGGGTAATTAAGACTTTACACATTCGTACTTCAGAACAACCAGTAGACATCTTCACAAAACCATTATGCAGCAAACAACATTCATATCTTCTTAGCAAGCTTGGAGTTTTTGATATCTACAAACCACAAGCTTAAGGGGGAGTGACGAAATATGTAATTCAATACATTTATTATTTATTTCCCTTGATCTCTGCTGGCTAAGATTAAGGAGTGATTAAGGCTTCAATCAATCACCTTAATTTATGTGATTGATTGAATTACATGGATTTGTATTTCTTTCTTTCCTATTTTACATTTACAAAACTTGTATAAATTAACCATTGTACAGGCTTACAATACAATATATACAGAAAATTTTCTCTCTTCTTTTCTTTCTCTTTGGCATACTCTGACAATATCATTGTCTTAAACTGCTTCTCGTTGCCTCTCTTTCTCGATTACTTCATAGACAACTGATGGAAACTAAGTGTGCAGACTTGAGAACCAAGAATAGTAGAGGCCTCACAACTCTAGACATCTGCGAGTCCGACTGGAATCTTTCTTATAGACAGGTTTCATATTAAATTTGAATTCGACTTTTTATTGTCTCTCACTTTCCATTTCACCCTCATGGATGGCTAAAATTATTTCTCTTATTCTTGATATTATTGCAGAATTCTCTCCATACATACCTAAGAGGCAAAAATGCACCACGAGGTAGACAACCCTATAATTATTGGAAGCGTGATCAAAAATCAAAGAATGCATTAAACCACCCTAACGCAGACTTAAAACAATTAGCCAACACAATGTCAGTGGTTGCTGCCCTTCTGGCAACTTTAACTTTCGCTGTGGCTGATGATAATGACAAACCTCCTGAAATAAAGCATTCAACAGTTGATAAAAATAAACCTGAACTAGGTACCACAATCCTCATAGAGAAATTATCACTTAAGGTATTTGTATTGGCTGATTCACTCGCAATGTGTTCTTCATGACTGTGGTGTTTCTCCTAATTCTAGCAATGGTTGGTGATCCTGCCTTCTTGCGCTCAGCAATTTTTTATAGCAAGAACTTGCTGAATATCGCCCTTTTCGGAACGTTGGTCGCCTTTATAACTGGATTGTACACTGTAATATCACCAGAGAGTGAATGGTTAGCCATCATTGTCGTCATCACAGGCTCCAGTGTTCCATTTCTCATCAAATTTTTGCACCGGAAGTCTTCCACTTCAAACCCTCTTGTTATAAAATATGTCAAGGGAACAATGAAGAAACCCGTAATCACCTACAGCCTTGGAAGAAGACGTTCAAATCTTAGTTATGGATACGTCAAGCCAAATCACTTCACTGGTACGATTCTATTTGATATAATAACTCAAGACCATTTTGTTTTCTTGTTTTAATGTCATGCACCCGTCTCTAATCTTTCTTTTAGGATCTTGTTTTAATAAGTTTTATTAGTTATATATTTGTAAAATATAATTTAGATTATAACATGATTGCTAATATGTATTTTTTTATTTGTTTTTATATGATCATTCAATATGTTAGCGTCTTGCTTTCATTGTAATCATTTAAACAATTTGTTAATTGGGATCCTTGTAGAATCCCGTTTTCATTAGTGTGAGATTTGGATAATTGTTTATGTACTCTTTCATTTCACAGAAAATTTAAATATAGTTTTTGGTTTTTTCGAAAAAAAAAAAGAAACGAGAAATTTTATGAATGAAATGTTTTCAATTATAATTTTTTTAAAACAATTTAAAAAAACTGCTTTTCTCAAATTTTGAAAACTATTTTTAAAATATCATGTCAGATATTAAAAATAAAATTATTTTGCAATCACAAACGGCTAATTTAAGTTTTTTTCAAAGCTATTTTCCTACTCCAACTAGGAGACATGCAAGTGATATGTTGTAACCGTTTTTAAAAAAAAAAAAAAAAAAAAAAATCTCAATAGATCCACATATCTTTGTCTTTTTCATTCACAGCCTTGATATTTTTAATTTCTCTTCCTATCAATCATTTTTTATCAAACAAAAATCTTCACTTTCTCCTCCTTCCTCCCTCCAATAATGAGACTTTATTTTCTCTCTATTCTCTCATCTCTTTCTTTGTAAATCATCTCTTTCGTTATACGTTGCAGCTTCGTTTTCTCCTTCTCCAAAATTCTCCAAATTTCCGCCGCCGTCGTCCTCGTCCTCGTCGTGTTTCCGAGTAGTGTGTCGTGGCGGATCCACGCGCCGTACGCCGCGAGTGAGCTGAAGTTGGCGTTGCACGACGCTTTGGACTCTACTGGAATCGATACAACCTATGCCCGAGTAATCATTCTCCTTTCTTTTTTCTTGTTTCAATCAATTTTGATTCTTTTATTGATTTATGTTCATCCTCTAATTGTGATTTTTATAATTTAAGTGATTTCCCTATCTGGGTTTGTTGGTTTTTCGATTTTTTCATAATGGGTCTTGTTATATTTATCATGTTAACGTGTCTGTGTTTTCATGAATTTGGATGCTTTTATTGAGTATTTATCCTCTGTCTCTGTGTGTGTAATTTTAGTGCTTATCTATCTAGGTTTATTGAGTCAGATTAATGTTTATATTGTGCTTTTGCGCAATTTAAGTGCTTTTGCTATCCGGGTTTGTTGATTTTTGGTGCTTTTCATTGTTGCTCCTGTTATATTTATAATCTTAGCATGTCTGCTTTTCAGCAACTTTGGTCCTCTTAATGAGCCAGATTGATACTCTTCATATGATTCTATATAATCTAAGTGACTTTTTCCATCTGGGTTTGTTGATTTTTGGTATTTTAGATTGTTGGTCTTGTGTATTTCTTTGGTGATATCATAGTGAAGTCATGTTTATAATATTAAAATGTCTGTTTATCATGAAGTTTGATGCTTTTCTTTTAGTCAGATTAATTTTTATCTTCTTATTTTGCAAAGTCTAAAAGTTTTTGTTATTTGGGTTTGTTGACTTTTCATGCATTACGTTGTTGGTCTTGTTCTGTATTTCTGTGGGTGATAATATTGAAGCAACATCGTATTTATAGTATTTAGTCTCAAATTAGCAACATCATTTTAGTAATATATAATGCATGACCCATAGGCCATAACTGCTACTGTTTTCAGATTGTCTGGGGGCTGGATCTTAATAAGCCAGTGTCAGAGTGGTCTTGTAGTTAGGTAATTTCTAGTTTCCATATTTTATTGTAGTATCCAAATCTAATCCTCGAAAAATGAAAAGGGCCTAGATCGTTTCACAATGTCTACTTCTAGAATGGAATTTATTTGGAATCTTTATCAATAGAATCTTGGATATAAGCAAATTTGGATATTATCTCTTTCACATGATCTTTTTTCATTTAAGGGTTCTGGTTTTATTGTCATTACAGAACTTTCATTATTGAATTTGGTTTATCTGTGGAAGTCTAGAATATTGGTTTATAAGTGCTTTTATGGTAAGAATTACACGTGAAAATGACATTCCGATATAACAAGTTACTAGGTAATATTCCATTTAGTCAAGAAAAGAGGCGAATCTTTAGAAGTTAAAATTTTTTATTAATGGATTTTTAATCTTATGCATGAAAGATCCTTGAATGACTGAAGAATTTGTTGAAGGTTAATGGCTAAGACTTCTACATGATGTTTTATTATATATATACACACACAGAGAGAGAAAATAAGAAAAACACATTTCAATTATATTTAGAGACTTTTTTTCATAAAATAGAAAATTCATTTTAATCTTTAACAAAGAAAAGACAAAGAGATAGCTTGTGCATTCACACACACGCGCAGAAGATAAGAAAAACACATTCAATTATTTTTAGAGACTTTTTTTCGTATAGTAGAAAATCTCATTTTCATCTTTAACAAAGAAAAGACAGAAAGCTTGTGCATTGTTTTCTCCAGGGTTCATTTCTCAAAACCATTAAGCACTTTTGAGTTCTAAATATTTTTAAGATTATTAAGAATTTTTATATAAGGTATTCCACAGTTGTATGTTTAAAATATATTGTTCTCATTTTCAAAAAAAAATAAAATAAAATAAAATAAAAAATCTTTGAATGCATTTCATTGTTTTCATTTTTTGAATTCATTTTGTCAAAACATTTTCTTAAAGCAATACCATCTGGCCCCTAATTTTCTTGAATAAATTTTGGCAAAAGGAAGCATTTTAGAGGACTGATAAGGACATTCCAATGAGACAATTAACTATAATCTGGTGAATCTTAATGACTGGGGTTAATGAAGGGTTCATTGACTTAAGTATCATTTATATACTACTAGGTTAAAGGCGTGTTAATTAATTTTCTTAGTGAACTGAGAAATATTACTGTTTGCTCAAATTGATGTGCATCGTATCACATTCATCAGTTCCTCTTCCTGTGGATGCTTTCATCGACCGATTGGATGATCTTTCCGTGGGATATTGCCCTCATTATAACTCATCTTTGAAGTCATCACGAGAAAATTTTTTTGGATAGTATTGAGAGATATTTGTTTGATAAAAAGGTTGGTAGACATGTTTGCAGTTGTTAATTTAGTATTCTTGCTAATGTTATCTAAGCTAATCTTTTTGTTTTACTCAAATAAAAGGAAATGCAGTGAAGGAAGGAGTACATTTTTGTATTTTTATGACACTTAGAAGTTTATATAGTGTAAGTGGTCAGCAGGTTAGCATTATCATGCGTGTTTGTGTTGTGTGTGTGATCTCAGTAATGCTTTTTCACTCATAGCTAACTAAGTCCATTTGAACTGGTCCTGAGATACACATTAAAGTACAAAACATGTAATGTAGTGGATTTGGAATGATTTTTGTATAGTTCCAGATTCCCCTCTGCTGGGAGTCGTTTTGTACTCTTGGGGAATCTGATCCAGTTTTCTAATTTCTATCAATATAAATCTAATCAGCATCCTATCGGAAGAAATGAATAAAATAAATTTGCAAACATGAGGAATGACGTGAGCAGACTGCAGAACTTATAGCACTAGAATGTCCTAATAAGTGTCTCCCCTTCTCTGTACTGAATGATGTAAAGAGTTCTTCATAATCTTCATATGCTTCTGTTTTCTTTTATATCAAATTCAAAATGTGTTTGAGAAACTGTATGGTGTATCTTCAGGCGGTGGAGCTTTCTTATACCTGATTTGATGATTTCATGTTAGGGTTTTGGGAGAACCAGTGTGAGGAATCAAATAGATCCTAGAGCGCTATATCTTCACTCAGTATGGAATTCTCCCTTCTCTCAACAATTCTATATTCCTCATTGGAGAAAACATTACCATAAGGAATTTTTCAGTTATTTATCTTAACATCATGAGCAGGTTTTGACACATCGCTCGGGCTCCACTGTTATGCTATGGCTTATATACTCAGAAATCCTGAAAATGATTTGCTTGTGGGGCCTTGTAGATTTTGACGGGAGATAGCATTTTGTCTTGAACCATCATCTTCCTAGGGGATAACAGAAGCAGAAGAGCAGGGAATCTGATCAGCCATACATTATGACTGTTCAAATATTGTTGGAGGAGGTACTTTTATGTACTTGCTCACATTTGTATTATTTTTCTTTCCTGTATTTAGCAAACCTCAAGTCTTTTAAGCTAAGATACTAGATATATGTTATTTGGTGTTTTAGTTTTAAAAAAATAAAAGAAAAAGGCATTCGAAAATAAAAAATAAGAAGTTTGTTTTTGTGTTCTCAGAATTTGAAATTGTGTGAATAAAAAGGGTAAAATATTTATTTTCTGAAAACAGTATCTGAAAATAAAAACAGTAAAAATGTGTTTGATATCATTTTCTTATGATAAATATAAAATTTGGAGAATGAAAGGACGGAGAACATTTTTTTCAAGTTTTGTGCTTTCAATTCTTAAATAAAGATTGAATTCTCCATTTTCCCTATTTTCTGTTTATAAAGGGTAAATGGTAAGTGAACAAATATCTGTGTCGTGATAACTTTTTTCTGGAACTAATGAGCAAATCAATTGTGGAATCTTTTGTGTTGGAAGATCAAGGGTTGTATTTTCTCTCTCACTTTCAGTTTGTTGCATTGCTAGATTATTAGGAAGACCAATATGGTACTAAGGAACTAAAGTGAATAATTTGCAATTAGCATATGACAAATTGCATCAGGGAAATTAAGGAAAGAAGACTGAAGATCCATTATGGTACTTCGATGTGTGCACTTTACCCATGGAAATGTTAGAAATGATTTCTATTATGTTTTGTCATATATGAGTTAGTTGAATTTGGCAATGATTATTGATTTTTGTGTTTCCTTCTTTTTTTATTCCCATAGTTGGATCATCATACTTAGATCAGGAGTATTTCCCTGTGAGATTCAATCGAAGAAAAAATGCAATATGGTGCTGTTTTAGATCAATGTTTATGTAATAGTTGCTTTTATTGATAATTGTCAGTTAACTAACCTGTGATTATATGAAAACTCTTTGTAGTTTTTATAATCTCCACTGAGATTTCTTTCTCCCCCACTTTGGGCTCTATTTATTCTGATTTCATTATTTTTCTACTGCAGTGGCTTGCAGCTTGCATCAGCGAAGGCTGCTAAACACAGGTTAGAGCGTGGTGTTTGGACCAGTGTACACTTTGGGGATATGAGATGTGCATTAGCTGGTGTGTAATTGTAAGATAATTGATGTGTTTAGCATATTCTTTTTTGTACTTATGCTGATTATGCAAGAATGTGAGATTTAAAAAAAAAAAAAAAAAAGATACATTTGGCATGCTGTTGTTGGCATGTTTTCATGTAAAGCCATAGAGATTGAAGTAAAAAAAAAAAATATATAAAAAATTATCATAAATATCCCATCTTTGTCTCCCCAGCAACGAAATCTTCATCTTCCCCACAAACAAAACCAAACCCTCACTTTTCCATCAAAATCTAAACAGTAGAAACAATTCGCCAAAATTGAATCAATCCAATTGTCTTAAACAACACAAATACCACAACTATAACCACAAACGATCATTGATTTCGGTTTTTTGTTATTATTATTATTATTATTATTATTTGAGTTGTGTCAAGGGTAAATGGATCAAGTCGGAGGTGGATTGGGTTTGTTGGCGGAGCACGCTTGCAGGGCTGTTGAGCCTAGCCTTTCAGCTGCTGTTAGTGGCAGTTTGCGGCCTTGCAATGGCTGTCATGGCAACACGCCTAGCAGTGATTGCCAAAACGGCTTCATGGCCTTGCCGGCGATGCCAGGCCGTGGCTTTGCAGCCTTGGATAGTGGCATCCATGGCCGCTTGGAGGCTGTCATTGGAATTAACTTGAATGTGAGGATATGAGTTTTTAAGACGGGTTTGTAGATGTTAATAGATTTTAGGTGTTTTTAAGTTTTTTTGACTTGATTGGAGTTTTTAGGGCCAGGGATTTGGATTACATTGAGGGTGTGGAAATTTCACAGTGGAATTATTTAATTTTATTTTGATTTTAGGTTTGAGGATCAGTGACTTTCTTTTTTAATGGTTTTATTTTAGCATTAGGGGTAAATAAGGAATTTCACTATCAAGTGTGTCAGATGGCAGATTTCATCAACTCTAACAAATGATAGGCGATCAGGGCTGTTTCCAATACCAGGGTTTATTAGAGTTAGGGCATACCTCAGGGGGTTTAAAGAAAATTTCTCTTGGGAATATATATATATATATATATATATATATATATAGAGGGAGATGGTTGATTGGAAATAATAATGTTAGATGTACAAAGAAATTTTACAAATATTTCTATATAAAATGATGTGACATCTCCATTCATTTTATTGATCTTTTACCGCATGGCTTTATATAGAAATATTTCTAAGATTTATTTATAGTGTTAAGAGTTATTAGAGCAAGGACATACCTCCGGCAGTTTAAATATCTTGACACTAGCTAAGTGAACTTGACTAACAAAACTTGAGAATTTTGCTTCAAAGAGTCCAAATTTTACCAAGAAAAAAGACGTGAAAACTTGGTGAAAAAGGACATGGCATTTATGAGCCACTATCTTTACAGCTTAAAATATAGAAGATTATGTAATCTATATAATTAGATAATTGTATTTAAATTAATTGTATTGATAGAGGAAGGAATTAAGATTGCATTTTATAATTAATATATTGAGTATTTATATAAGTATTTTATGTATTCAGTGTTTTGGCCTGAAATGCCCTCCATGTTCCTCGAAATATAACTTAAACCCAAACTTCATTCAAATTCCAAATTTCTCATCTGAGATAAAAAATTTAACATTTAACATGATTACATGATCTCACGTAGGACTGCAGCTCCTATATTTTATCCGTGTTCAAAGTTCAAACCTATTGAAATCAAGAATTTCCATTGCTGAATTTAAAATGTTAATGCATCTAACATAGACAAAATAAGTGTTAAACAAAATTGATAAAAAAGAATGGCATATAACAAACAAAGAACAAAACAAAAGCATGATATTTTATTACAAAATAATAATTAGGATCCAAAGTTGGAACTTCTGTTCCTCTTTCCCTTCCTCCTTTTCTTTGGTGCTGAAACTTATGTGGATTCTTCCTTCTCAGCTTTTTCATAGAATAAATTAACCCCGCACTTTTTCACCTTGCAGCATTTTTTACCTTTACAATTATAATCACAATGAAAAGTCAAAAAAACGGAGCCATTCCGTAGTTCATTCCGCGCATGTTCATATTTTTGTTTGTTGGAGGAGAAACACAACATGTATACATGATCTCGTAATATGTAGCGACTTCCAGTTTCAAGGTTTGAACTGAAAAGGGAGAAACGACAAGTCCACTTATTCCTTATCTTACCATGCTCGTCTTTGAACGTGAAACAACAAAGAAAGGGCAATGACCTGTCATCAAAATGATGTTGTCGAGATGTTATAACAGTGCACACATCAATTAATAAGTATTCATCGTTGATCAGAGCTGGTAGTAGCTTGACTGTTATAGAAGATCCCATATTTTGATAGCTATACCAATTTGGAATCTCATTTCCAGGGAAACAGCCAACAAACGCTGATCCTGACTGCTTCCGCCTCTGCACCAAGAAAGTCACTACTTTTAAAAGAGAAGTAGGGCAACAATTAAATTATATAATACCCAAAATAAGAAAGAAAATTATTCCTCAACCTAAAACTACCTTAAAGTTAATTTTTAAATAGCCTTTTTAACTTGGAACATAGACGGTGAAAAGCACTGTCTCCTTTAAGGAGTTTGTGTTTTTTTTTTTTTTTCCAGTAATACTATAAAATTTCATATCCCAAATGATGTTTCATTATATAGGTATTGCCAAATCATTCAATACATCATTTTTTTGTGTGCACGTGTCAATGCCACATAAATTGGCACATCACTTGGGATATGAATTTTTTAGTAGTATTATTGTATTTTTCACTTTAGGATTTTGTTTCTAATCCAAAAATAATAAAATATCAAATTAGATTAACTTTAAAAAAATTTTAAATATATATTATGTAAAGGAGAGAAAAAGATCTATAGACCTCAGCACATAATTCGATAGCATTTTCCAAGTTGGCTTTGAGCACATTCCTATCCAGTTTGTGACAATTGGCAAGACTGATAGTTGCTCGGCTTGAAAAAGTAACACATAATGCCTCTAATGATGTGCAATTCTCTGCATGCAAATTTAAAAGAACTGGAAGCTCTGCCAAGGATCGAAGACTCTGGCAATTACTTACGTCCAAAGCAACCAAATTAGAAAGCTCTTTGATGCCTGGTATTAACTCAAAATTTTTTTCGGCAAGACATAATTTTCTTAGAAAGGATAATGGGGTGAGATTGTCCAATGACATAGTCATTCCACAACCAGATAGATTTAGATACTCAAGAGAGTTCAAACCTGATAAAAAAAGCAATACAAATTAGAAATGTCTATTCAAATGTACTCAAGATAATGGCAGTATCATTAGATTTGAGTATGGTCAACTTACAACTGGTGTTAGGAAAACTCTTAAGGCTTTTGCAACCTCGAAGATTGATTATAGCAAGCTTCTTGAGATATTTTTTTGATGAAAACACCTTAATCAAACTTGTACAACCTTCTAGAATCAAACTCTCAACATTTTGGATCATTGAGAGGTCTTGGATTCTGGTTAGGAGCTTTGAGCTGCTGAGATTAATGTGTTTCAATTTATCACGTTGCTACAAGAAAAAAAATAATAAATTAATCATGTATTATAATTTTCAAAAAAAAAAAAAAAAGGAATATTCAAGCCATATATGTACCTGGACAAAATTCAAAGTTTTAATCTTGCTACATGGCATGACAAGTGAAACAAGATTCTCTACATCAAAAGTTGATGGCAATGATGGCAACGGATATCCATACCAACAGAAGTACCTTAATTCAAAAAGAACAAATTCAAGATCTTCAGAAGGATAAACCTTATTATTAATCTGCCCTTCTTTGCATATGTAGCCACCTTTACTGTGTGAGTTGTAAAAGTTGCATGAGCAACCAATATCGCAATAAAAATCCAAGAATCTGAGGTTATGCATGTTTGAGAAAGCGTGGGGATGTAACTTGAAAGGTTTTGCTTTTGACATTTCCAAACGAATGCATTCAATTGCTCCAGTCCCCTAGTGATCAAGAAGTGACAGTAAGTTAGCATCCCATATGTAATAAGTCTCAATTACTTTTCTTTTCTCAACTTTCTTATGCTAATATTTAAATATAGACAACATCAACCAAATCTTATCCCTTTCCCAGTGAGGAATTGGATAAAAGGGTATATACATGCAAGAACAACACATAATGCACATTAATTTTTTTTTTTTTTTTAAAGTAAAAAAAAAAAAAAGTGAACAAATATGTGTATGAAAAGTTAATGAGGTGATCTCTCACCATGTCTGTCTTCAATACACGATTGATATCTTCATGATGCCATAACCTACTGCGTTTGCCAAGATCTTTTGATTCTTCAGAGACAATTTTCCTCCCAATTTCTTGCAATAAATCATGCATTATTATCTTGCAACCAGATAGAGTTATGAGAGATTTATCAATGAGAACACTTACTCCTATGTCTGCAGCAAACCCAATATCATCTAGGATTTTCTTCACAAAATTCTTATCATCCCTATTAAAGAAACATGCAATATCTAGAAATATTTTTTGTTCTTCATTTTCTAGTCCATCGTAACTTATTTTCAGCACATCTAGGATCTTCGGATTCGGAATTCTTTCAAGCTTTTTCAATGCACTTTTCCATTCTGAATATGTCTTGCCAAATAGCATGTCACCAAAAATTTTAAGAGCTAATGGAATGCCTTTAGCAAATGTTAGTGCCCATTGAGATAGCTCCTTGTAACCTGCAGTGGGTTGATTTTGTTTGAAGGCATGTCGACAGAAAAGTTCAACAGCCTCATCAGTTGATAACTCCTTAACCTTGTATATGTTATCATGATTCACTCCACAAGTTTTAAGCACTTGTTTATCTCTTGATGTTATGATGACACAACTTCCAGAACCAAAACAATCACCAGTAAACTTTTCTATTTGCTCAAAACATGTTACATCGTCAAAAACAATAAGAATCTTCATACTGCAAAGCCTCTTTTTCGTGAAGATAGAATCTAAACTGGCATGTTTATCATCTAATATTGCAAAAAGAACTTGTTGACTCAAACGAGTTAATCCATTATTCTTTTTACATTCTTCCCTGACATTATCTTGAAAGTGGGCTTTTTTAAATTGACTTGAGATTCGGTTGAATATTGCATGAGCAAGAGTTGTCTTGCCTATTCCACCCATTCCCCAAATCCCAACACTGCTTGAAACATCTTTTAACCCAAGACGTAATAGTGATTCAACTTTCTCTATTTTTGATTTTACTCCAATGAGGTTCTTGTTGTCACTTGGGGACATTTGATTCAGGTTTTTCGAAATATAGTTGACAATTTCCTCTACTAATGTAGATTCAGGCCTAGCAAAATATAAAACAGTTTATTCATAAGTTTAATTAAATCAAAGGAGAAACAATAATGCACTTTAATTACAATATCTATGCTAAAAAAGTTTTTGTAATTAAGTGATTATTAAAATATATAACAGTTGCCTAATGTACTTAATCTTCGAGGGCGCCTTGTGAAACAACAAAAAAGAGTAAAACCCATAGTTGCTAATAAAAATCAATAATAACTATTAATCAAAATGTGCAAATGCTTTACATCTGAACAAATTCTCTAAGTTGTGCTCAAACCGTTCTTCATGCTTCACAAATTCTACATTTCTACTCCAAGCATCTCAGTTTGCTTCCTTGTATCTGATGGACTAATATTATTGTTTAATTCCTATATTAATTTCTAACTAATTGTTACCTGATTTTTTTTTTTTTTTTCGTCACGCGCTGTATTATATTCTACTAATATTTTTTTAATTAAAATTACAATATCTTACTCCAAGGAAACCTTGCTAATTAAAAGATATATATATATTACCAGGTTCATTTGATTAATTATACATATCAAATATCTAAAATTTATGGATATCTTTGTTAGTTCAGTATCTAATAGATAAATTTATTTTCTCCAAATTAAGAAGATAAGTCTCTTCATCTATTGAACCAAACTTACGTCCCTTTTAGTTTGACAACTATAAATAAATAAACAAGTAAATTAATAAGTGCAACAACAATTAATTTCAATCAACAATTACCTACTGTTACTTGAATCAAATCCAGACAAATTAGCTGCTTCTCTCAAAGCGTTCCTCCATCTCATCACCTTCTCTAAGCTCTGTATTTTTTCATGCCTCACAAATGCTTCTTCATATGTGCGTTTTTGGTTTTTTACATTAGACGGATCCACATGATAGAAAATTGGCACGATCAAATCTCCCGCTTTCTTGCCTTCAATGATTTTTGCAAGTTCTTCAAGGCACCATCTAGATGTGGCATATCCTTTCGAGAATATAATAACAACAATCTTTGATTCTTCAATTGCATTCAAAAGTGTTTGTGAAATTTCATCTCCTCTTTCGAGATCATAACTATCAATGAACGTCTTGATTTTCTTTGAACACAATGCTGCATAGAGATGGCTTGTAAAATTTTCACGTGTATCCTCCCCCCTAAAACTAAGAAAAACATCATATTTTTCATAAACTCTAGAAGAAGAAGAAGAAGATGATGATGATGATGCCATTAATAAACTTTAACACTTGATGAAAGACTCCTCAAACTCTTAAAATGTAAGCAATGCAAAAGATATCAAGAACCCAACTCAAAATTTCATGAACTTCACAAGAAGTTTTGTGCAAATTTTGAGTTATTTCTCTGCTTTTATCCCCCGATTTCTATTTTTTTCTCCTGTTTCCTTGAAGTTTCTTTGTGTATGAAAAGGGATTCAATAATTTAAAGACACTTTAAAATATATTATAACTGCGTTTTTACTGTTATAAACGTAAAACTATAAATTTTAGTTAATAGTATTAATATGAAAAATGTTTCTTTTCTTCAATAATGGAATTGATCGAGTAATAATACTGAATGGTAGATTATAAATAAAAATAACGAAAATAAAACATAAAAAAGTAATCCCATTCATACGAAAGGACACGCATTTGCACAAAACTTTTTGACTCTTGCTTTAGTAATTGGCACCGAAAGCTGGCCACTTTGATGAACCTTCCGAGAACTTATGGCACTTAAACTTTTTGACTTTTGACTAAAAAGAAATCATGGTGTCTCTTATAATGGTTTTCATTTTCTCATTTTCTCCAAAGTAGCTTGCCACTTTGATGAACCTTCGTGGCAGTCTCTATTTTGGTCTTTTGTTCACACCTTGTGCAGTCACTGGTTGGGAAGAAAATGCGAAAAGAAAGAAGAGGAAATTGAGAGGATTATCAGTGAGAAAAGTTAGAAACAAATTTGAAGGACTTTATCATAAAGCCTATTTGGCTTTATTTTCCCTTTTTCCAATCAATAAGATGATTGGATTGGTTGGATATGATCCAGAATCAGAATATGCTCCGTTTCATTGGCATTGACCAAAACAAATGCTAGTGATAAATTCAATCAAACGGTTTAAAAGAGATCATTCATCATTTGATCATCAAGTTCTAATATATTATTGTAGACACAAAACAAAAACGTGTGGACCACCTATTCTATTTGAAACATAAATCTGATTTTGTAAATATAATATATTATTGAATATTTTTTAATGTTAATAATAGAAAATTAGGAAGATAAACATCATTTATATCACAAATTAACATATTATTATTTCACTTATCATTGATTGAAAATTCTATGAAATTGCATTACTTTGACTATTTGTGTTTGTTATTCTATTTAATTATAGTTATTAATTTATAGATCTCTTTTGGATTGAGAGATTCTAAATAAATGATTTTGTTAAATCCATGGATTTGGTAAAATCCTTTGTTTGGTTTAAAAAAAAAAAAAGGGTTGAAATCCATGGATTTTGGCAATTCCATCACCCTCTAGAATCTTTCATTTTTTAGGGTTTTAAAATCCCATTTGGTAGGTGAGATTTTGCCAAATCCATCAATTTTAATAAAATGGGGGACTTAGTAATATTTTAATTTTCCAATAATACCATTATTAATAATTTAATATCCTAATATCTATCTTTTACCTTAATTAAAAAAAATATATTTATCGTTTTCTCGTTTTGAGCTCTCCACCTTTACATGGAATTCTTGTTTTTAACTTGGAATTCTTTTTTTTTTTTTTTTACCAAATCACAAAAAATAATTTATTATAATTGGATTTCTCTATCAAATAATATTAAAATTGTATTTAATTAGATGAAAGTTGAATTTTTATTGGTTTTGGATATTGAGAGTAAAGTTGAAAATTATTTATCAAATCCATGGATTGTATCCATCTAACCAAACATAAGTGTCTGGAAATTTGAATCAATAATTCATGAATTTAATATTTAAAACAAACAATAAAATTTATCAAATACCTGGATTTTGAATCCATGAATTGTACAAAATCCATGGATTTTAAAATCATTCAATCCAAAATGAGGTCATAATTTTTTGCTTAGATATACTAAAAGTACTATGTTGAAGAACCATTTTTATTTTATTTATAATTTTCTTCTTAATGTATAAGTAAAACTAAATCTTAATGTTGGATTAATGGTGATTTTTAGGAAAAGTGCTTCTTGAATGAAAGTGCTTCCATAAAAGCTGAAACCCTAAAAAATGAAATGCTATATTCGTTTTTGGCAAAGTGAAAAAGCCGACAAATATGAAGAAATAGATATTAAGGCGTGAGGCAATGACACGTGGTAGCCACTAATTTTTATCAATAATGCTATGCTTACTCATGAACTTACTAACCGTCTTACTCACCGTTGTAAATATAAAGCATAGTACGGGTACCATAAGAATAGTACGGGTACCATATGTAATTTAAACAAAGGTGAGTAAGACGATTAGTAAGCTCGTGAGTAAGCATAACATTATTAGATTTTTATTAGTTTTAACATAATAGTATTAAATGATGCTAATGCTCTTCTTTCCACCCAACAGGGGCCCCATTAACAACAACTTCCACCACCCATCGAATAAACGGATCTTCGTTCAAAAATTCAATCACTAATTAAACACTATTAAATTAAAATCAAGAAACCCAATTTAAAAACAACCAAAATAATCATCATCAACAAACCCAAATATGCACAAACCTATAAACTGAAATCCAAAACAAACTCTAAGTACCATAACAGAAGGGAAAGAAAGGAAGCAACATCAATCGAGGTGAACACGGTTGGAATCGTTTCATTTAGATTTCATCAGGATCATGTTTAATTACTATTAGATTCATCTTATTGAATTGATATGATATTTTACAATTCAAATGTAATATTATTTAATTACTATTAGATTCATCTTATTGAATTGATATGATATTTTACAATTCAATGTAATATTATATAGAGAGAAAATCACTTTGGCCCGCAGCCCCTAGTTTCGATTTATTTGAGTTTGTAGGGAACTATGCCGATTTTCGTCAAAGTATCCCCAATAATTTCATGAATGCTGGAAACGGGGACCAAAACAGTGACGTCGTCTGAACTCTACTAGGCTATCAAGGGTAAAGTCGTCTTTTCAATTTTTTTTGTTTTTATTCAATATAAGATATAATTTTTTTCTTCCCCTCCCCGCCCTTTCTTTCTTCTTTCTCATTTTCTTCCCCACTCTACATCCACACGTATTCCCTTTTTGCAATCCTCTTTTCGTTTTCATTTTCTGTACCAATAAACCTAATTAAAACTCTAATACAAATCAAATCAAAACCTAATCAAAGTACAAATCAAACCCTAGATCTAACACCCAATCACAAATCAAGCAAAAATCAAATTGTGTACCAAAAAATACACAAAACAAATCCAAATCTTGAACCATGAGCGGTGGAAGAAGAAGTTGTGGAAGTGGAAAGAAATAGAGAAAAGAAAACAAAGAAAAGGCAAGAAAAAAAAGAGGCTGCACAGAACAAGAAGATGAGATAGTGAAAAGAATTAAAGAAATAAAGAAATAAGAGATAATGGAAGGAAACAAAGAAAATAAAATAAAAGGTGCTTTATGTTTTAATCCATTCACATAAAGACAAAGTAAGGTTANTTTGTAATGCTTAAAACCATTGGCAATTATCTGTGGCTTCACATCAATTGACCATGCATCAACTGCATTTACAATTTCATCAATGACACTTATCTTTGCTTGTTCTAAGATACGATCTTCTATCGGTTTCAAAAGTAGGCAATTAAAGTGCTGAATTGAAATCCTAAAACTACTACAATATGAATTGAAATCCTAATACTATACTACTAAAGCATGAATTATAAAATAAAAAATCAAACCAATAATTTTTATAATTACACCTTTATTAAGTTATAACCTCCTTATAGTAATAAAATTGGTTAGTTCCACTATTATAACTATAGAGAAGTTTTACTATATATATATATATATATATAAGGTCTTGACAAATTAATTCTAAGACGTCTTGACTAAGAAATATTTCATTAAGAGATGGAAAGAATAGCATGAAAATATTAAGAAAGTTTCTCTAACCAATAAAGAGGCAAGCATTTCAAGGAAGGTAATTTACGCAATGCGAGGAGACTTTGACATCTTTCGCAATCACTTATTTTTAGTGCTATGAGATTTTTCAAGACGAAGAGCCAATTAGGAATAGTCACGCCTAGAAAATAAAATATACCAAGTTGCCTTAGATTTTGAAATTGTTAAAGCCTTTCTAGCACCTGCTCATTCAGACTGTGGTAACCACCCAGATGAGACAATGGAGGGGCACTTGTATTATCTAGCCAAGAAAGTCTACAGTAACACATAAGTATTATTGACGTGGTACTACGAGATAATACATGCATGTCAACCAATCACAAATAATTTGAAGTTAGAAGAAATTAAAAAAATTCACAAGTGGCATATTGGATGGTGGTAATACCTCTATTGTGTTCTAGATTTTTCAATCAAGCATCTTCCAATTCAATTCTAGGAAGTTACGTGTTGCTTAGCTTTTAAATTGGCCAACGTGGCTTCCAAGGTGATATTTTTCAATCCTTGAATTTGTAATTTTACCCTCAAGTTGTTTAGGTTATCCATTTCACTTAGATTAACATTTTTCCTACTCTTCTCATCTAATACAAACTTGGATAAAGTTCAAAGGCTAGTCAACAACTTCAATCCATCTTGCAATGGCCAATTATCATGCATCCCTTAGTCTTTGATTCTTACATCTTGCACCCCAAAATCCTTTAAATAAAATTAAGTTTTATCATGATCTCACCCCTGGAGAATTTTGCATGTACCCTTGCATGACACAATATTAAAAGGACCCCTCATCTTAATCAATTTCATAAAGTTGTTAAAAGATTTTCACACTTCCAATTTCGCACAAGTACTCTTGCAAAACTACCTAATAACCCACCATGCCTTATTTCTTACTAAAACATCTCTAAAAAGTTTCAATTCTTACATATTACCCCCTAGATTCACATAAATAAAATTAAGTAAAACCCACAAAGAAAATACGGAGTATTACAATTACAGTTTTGGTCCTCGTTTGATGCCTTTATGAAATAATGGGGGGCACTTTGAGATCTGCATAGTTTCTCACAAGATTTACCAAAATTATAGGGGGCAAAGAGATTTTCTCTCATAATATATATATATATATATATATATATATGTCTTGACAAATTAATTCCAAGACGTCTTGACTAAGAAATATTTCATCAAGAGATGGAAAGAATAGCATGAAAATGTTAAGAAAGTTTATCTAACCAATAAAGAGGCAAGCATTTCAAGGAACGTAAT